GGGGGCGGGGGCGGGAACCCCTTATTGAGGAGACTCAACCCCCTCTGCCAGGGACCTTCTCTTTCTTCTTGCACCTGTCTTCTTGAGTCTGAACCCCCAAGTGGGGGGGTAGGGAGAACCCTGAGACCAGGCATGGCTGAGGAATCCTGGAAACAAAACCAATTAAAATACATTTCAAACCCATCATCTTGGTGTACTGGAGACTGACCTCCATCCCGCCATTTGGGGCCATGGTGGATGGACCCTGTAGTGGAGGCCTGGGGCTTCCTCCTACACTCCCAGAGATGGTGGGCGTGGGGTGCATCTCTGGGCCCCCCACCCCCGTCTCTGCTCTGGAAGGCCTTCTCACCCCCTGCTGGGGAAGAGAGGCTTTATTTTTCTACCAACACAAGAGCACCCCTACTCTTTTCCTCCCGTAAGCCTCACCCCTACTGAAACTTCTGTCTCAAGGAGGGGAGGGGAACAGTGAAGTATAGGGCCAGGCTGGTCTGGAGTTGGTAGCGCTCTCCAAAAGGTCCCATTCCATGTATGCTGAAAAGAGCAGGGGTGTGAGGGCAGTGGGCACCCAACATCCATTTCCGCTCCTGTCCATCTGGGCCGGAAGGGGGGAAGAACAGGATGCAGGCCCTGAGTGTGGGTTTGTGACGCGAACCACAGAGGCCCCTGGGCCCCTGCAGCATATGTGGGGCAGAGGGATCTGAGGGACACAGGCTCCGCACAGGCTTGTAGACCAGGGTGGGCTGGGTGAGGGGAGAGGGCAGCGGGGATCCTGAATGTCAGGATTTGTGTCGTGGCTCACCCCAGCCACTGACCAGGAGCAAGGAGGCCTTCAGAGCAGGGAGCTGCACTGTTTGGTCAACGGTGCAGAGGCTGGATGGGGAGCGGGGTTTCTGGGGCCCAGGGAGCAGCAGGGCCTGCTGCGGATGGAGTGCAGGGGTGGGACCTGCCTGCCCCACTGAGGCTGGGGAGGGGAAAGAGTCAGATGCGGAAGCCCCTTGGTGGTTCCTGGGGGTTGGGGGTCCAGAGAATACTGAACTTCGGGCCCCCGGATAGATGGGGGCAGCCCTGAGAGGAGAAAACAAGGTCCATTTGGGACAGATGGGTTCCTGAGGAGAGACCGGCGGGCTGGGCTGGGGGAAATGGGTTTGCCCCTGCTTGGATCGAATGGCTTGTCCTAAAACAGTTCATTTCTAGGGCCAGGGCCCATCCAGACTGGGAAGTCCCTCCCCTCCACCCCGACTCCTGGGCTGTGGCCTTAGGCTGGCCCTCAGCTGGGAGCCTCAGTTTCCCTTCTGTGCACTGGTGTGGGGGATGGCAGGAGGCATGGGAGCCGGGAACCTGTGCGAGGTGAGGGCAGGCTGGCGAGGATCACCTGTCCACTGTCACTTAATCTTTGCCATCAGGGAAGGTAGCCACGGAGGAAATGGGGCGTGGAGCAGTCCCAGCCTCACTCAGGAAGGCCCAGGCAGTCTGGCTTGCCGGCTGGTGCCCACATAGACGTTCCCCTTGATACCTTGGGTCAGGCCCAGCGTCAAGACACTTGTCTTTTGCACTTCCTGTGGGCCTGACCTGGGCAAAGAGCGGGCACCCGGTCTTTTCTAGCTCCTCAGAGGTTCCCAACCTGTCCCCGGGGCCCTCGCTGGCTGCCTAGTCCCTGGGGCCCCAGGCAGGAGGACCCCCTTCTGGAGCAGCTGCAGTGCAGCAGGACGGGCATGTCTGGGCCAGAGAAGGGAGGGCAGGGGCTGGGCTCCTCCAGGCAGCGGGGTCTTCCTCAGCTGGCTTACCTGGCACAGGGCCCTAAGCAGCTCAGCAGCCCACTCCCCACCTGCTTCCTGTGGCTTCCATCGGCCTCAGGCTAGCTCAGACAGAGCCAGTCCCTGCTTGTCTCTAAACTTCTACAACCACAACCAGAGTGCTGTGGGCTGCCCTGAGGCGGGGGCCTAGGGTCTAGGCAAGGCCTATCTCCACAGGGACCCCTGGAGACCCCAATCCTGGGCAAGGAGCCCATTACCTTTCTCCGCACCACCTGTAGGCTCAGAGCCCCCTGCTGCCGTTCCCGCCGCCGTCCCAGGGCCCTGGCCCAAGAGCGACCTTCTTGGTACAAGAGGCTGATCTCGTCTCTGCCCTTGGAGCCCACCCATGCTTCAGCCCCTTAGCCAACCTTCCCCGGCTTGGCATCCTGTCTGAGCATAGATGACAAAGGGTGACATTCCCACAGCCCAGCATAGACCCTAGGGGACACTCATCTGTTTGGAGTTTGTGAGACCCTGGGGGTCAGACCACGCTGGGCACAGAATGTGGGGTGCTGTGGGCCCTTAGCCACGACCCTACGAGGTGGGAACCTTTCCATCTGCAGACTCCGGGAGGTGGTGCTCTCCTCCTGCAGGTCAGACACACTTCCCCGTCAGCCTGGGTCGCTCGCTGGGCTGGTCCTGGATTCCCAGTCCCCCAGTGACACCCCCACGCCAGGTGCGCTGCCTACCAGAGCACGTGTCGTGCAGAACGGAAAGAGCCAAGCCAAACTCAGGTTCAGGGCACAGAGCTCCTGTGGCCGTTCACTTCCGGATAAGGCAGTGAACATGCCCCCGGGCCTGGGCAGGAAGGGAAGGGGTGAGAGAGCAGGCACTGCACAGCTGGCCGGCACCGGTGTCCCCTGCTGCTTCAGGCAGCCGCCCGTCGCACCACTCACAGCAGCTGGCTCCCTGCACAGCCCTCGCGTTACACCCCCAACCTGGGAGCTCATCGGCCACCTGCCCCGCCCTGCACCCACCTTCCCGAGGCGTCGCCTGAACCCTGGGCTTGTCTTGTCCTTGACAGGCAAGTGCGCGGGCTCCCTCTGCAGGAGCCACATGGCTTTGGGGCTCGGCCGCCAGGGGGCCTGCTGGGCACACCTATGGACTCTGCCTCGCTCAAGCTCACCCTTGGGGCGGGCGGGCAGCTGGGCTCTGGCCCTCTCTCCCTGAGGCACCCCCAGGCTGGGGCTAAGGCCAGGTGGCCCCCTCCCGCCACCGCCCTAGGTGCTGTTGTCTGCAAGCGGGAGGCGGTCAGCAGGCCAGGGGCCTGGCCTTCATCTGGTTTGAGGTTCCTTCAGCAGGTGCCCCCCAGGAGGCTGGCCCCACAGCAGCCCTAAGGGCTCGGCTGTGCTCCTGCTTGCGAGATGCTCACGGGCTGTGGAGCTGGAGTCGGTGCCCACCTGCGTCCCCGTGAGCCGCAGGGCCTGGTGTGCGATGGGAGGTTGAGGGCCCTCTTTCCCTTTGACTCACGTTGTCTCGTCTTCTTCGCTTTCCTCTGAGAGCCTCTCACTCTGACCTGTTTCTGGGCCAAATCTCGGGGCCCCATTTCCCAGCCAGCACGTTCCCACGACCGGGCCCCTGTGGTTGCCAACCTGAGCTGGGAGGCGTTTGACAGGGGGCGGGGGGTAGCAGAGCCAGGGCAGAGGAGTGGGAGGCTGCTTCGAATCCACCCAGGAAGGGAGCAGTCTGTGGGTATGGGTGAGGCCTGTGGCAGGGGCCCCGGCCAGCCTGGCCCTGCAAACAGGAAGGGCAGGGGCGCTGGCAGCCAGAAATGGGATCAGCTCCTTCCCACACACTTCACCACCTGCAGGGTGCCCACCCCACGGAGAGGTGGGCTGAAGTAAGGCCGGAAGCCAGGGCGTGGCTCCCCTGTGGTCCCCCTGCCAGGGAAGAGATGCCAGGGAGGGGCCAAAGGCCTAGTGCCACCGTGGTCACCTCCCTAATCTTTGGGCCACTGAAAGGGTGAGGGCTGGCCACAGCCTCCAGCTCTGGTCAGGCCCCAGTGCCCCCTAGCTGGGAGTCAGGCCTGGCCGCTGCACCCACAACAACCCACCAGATGGTTTCTGCCAGATCCTACGGCCTCTCTTCCCTCCTCGGATATTACACAAAGCTCCACGGTGCAGCTCGGAGGTTTTGCAGGGGCTGGGGAGCCTCAGAGATGCCCCACTCCTCCTCTTCTGCCTGGCCCCTGTATCCTCGGGGGTGCAATGCCAGCCCCCTGGCTCCACCCTGATGGCAGTCTGGTCCTCACTGAGGGGCAGGAGCTGGGGGAGGCCAGCAGCCCCAGGCGCCCAAGGGTGAAGCAGGAGGGGGACCACAGGGTGGTTGAAGGCCCCAAGGATGGCGAGGGGCAGGTAACCCAGGCCGTGGTTCCTGTTTGCTCCTCCTTCCACGACCCCCATTCCCCAGACTTCAAGAATGTGAGCGGCCCGAGGCCTCTGGATGCTGAGTGTGAGAGCCAGTCCTTGCCCTGCCACCTCCAGGACCAAGAAGGGTCCAGCCTGGGGGAAGGAAGCTGACGGCCCCAGCTCAGCTGAGCGGGGAGCAGGCCAGAGCTCGGGGAAGTCTGATCATGCTGACTTACTGTATCTGCAGCTCAGAGGAACTGGAGCAGAAGGGGAAGGAACTTGACCTCCAGGCCTGGGCCCCCAGGGCCGGTCAGAGGGGAGGGGAGGACAAAGGAGGAGACCTCTGGACTTCTGCCTGCTTTTTGCTGGAGCAGGCACCAGCTCCCTACCTGCCAGGGTCAGGGACACAACGACTCCTTCCCTTTCCAGTCTGGAAAGCCCCCTCTCTGTCCCCACCCCCACCCTGGGCCTGGAGGAGGAGGCCTGGAGTCCCCGACGGCAGGCCTCTGCCCACATCCCCGCTCCTCAGGAGCAGCCGCTCTTCCCAGGCTGGCCAGGACCCTAGGACTTCTGTGGACACGTGTCCTCGGGTGAGGAAAGAAAGCACAGTGGGCCCTGCAGCCCACCCTGGGACTGACACTCCTGGGACCCCGGGACCGAGACCACCCCCCGCGCTGGGGACCTGGGTTCTGGACACGGTGTCCCAGAGGTGGCAGGGGTGAGGTGGGGGTGGGGTAGCCCACTTAGGAGGCAAGGGAGAAACCTCAGCCTCCTGGCAGAGAGCTGAGCACAACACATCTGCAGTCTGAGGGTCTGGGAGCGGCACAAGCAGCCGTTGAGCAGGGGAAGTGGGTGATGCCACCACAGGAGGGGCACTGCTGGCCTGGGGCTCCGCGCCGCCGCCTCCGGGGGAAGTGCGCCCTGCCTTCCAGTCCTGGTGGCCGGCAGCCACTGGGTCCCTATGTCCAGGGGCCACCTCCACCTGGGACGGCGTGTCCTCGACTTGCCTGCCCAGCTGGTCATCCCCAGGCCTCTCGGAGCCTGGCAGGGGTGGGGGGGGCATGATACTGGGCTGGGGATGGTGCCCCTCCTACCCCCAGCAGCCAGAGGATCAGAGTGGGAGGTGGGGTGCGGATGGTGGTTGATGCCAAAAGTCGCCTCCAGGGCAGGGAGGCGGGGGGGGGGTGCCAGGGGCGGGGCAGGAGCAGGAAGATCGCCTGCGGTCTCTCATCTCATCTCGGGCAGATGAAAGGGCAGCGCTTCCAGGTCGGGCTGAGCGTGGGGTTCAGCTGTGATTGCAGGCACCTCTGCCTAGTGGCTGTTGTGATTTGAGATCCTCTGGTGTCCCGGGCGGCTGATTCTGGGCGCTGCGGATGAATAATACTGGTGAGTGTCTGGTCTTCGGGGAGACACGGGCTGGGAGGATGGGCCCAAGGGCAACCCTGGGAAGACAGCGTCTCTTTCTATGTCCTGTGTAGGGTGCGGCCCCTCCTGGAGGCTTCGGGGCTTGGGGGCCCTGGCTGGAGCCACCCTGCTTCCCGCCCTGTGGCTCCTGTGGCTACTCCGGGCGGCCCCTGTGCCAGGCCCTGCGCCCCCGCCCACGCTCACCATCCTCATCTGGCACTGGCCCTTCACGGACCAGCCCCCAGAGCTGCCCAGAAACACCTGCATCAGCTACGGGGTGGCCCACTGCCACCTGAGTACCAACCACAGCCTGCTGGCCATCGCGGACGCTGTGGTCTTCCACCACCGTGAGCTGCAGACCCAGCGGGCCCGCTTGCCCCTGGCCCAGCGGCCGCGGGGGCAGCCCTGGGTGTGGGCCTCCATGGAGTCACCCAGCCACACCCACGGCCTTGGGCGCCTCGGCGGCATCTTTAACTGGGTGCTGAGCTACCGCCGAGACTCCGATATCTTCGTGCCCTATGGCCGTCTGGAGCCTCACGAGGGGCCCGCACCGCCACTGCCGGCCAAGAAGGGGGTGGCAGCCTGGGTGGTCAGCAACTTCCAGGAGCGGCAGCGGCGCGTGCACCTGTACCGGCAGCTGGTGCCTCACCTGCAGGTGGATGTGTTCGGCCATGCCAACAGGAAGCCGCTGTGTGCCAACTGCTTGCTGCCTACTGTGGCCCGGTACCTCTTCTACTTGTCTTTTGAGAACTCGCAGCACCGAGACTACATCACCGAGAAGTTCTGGCGCAACGCGCTGGCAGCCGGGACCGTTCCTGTGGTGCTGGGGCCCCCGAGGGCCATGTACGAGGCCTTTGCACCCGCCGATGCCTTCGTGCACGTGGACGACTTCGGCACAGCCCAAGAGCTGGCCTCTTTCCTGGTTGGCATGAACGAGAGCCGCTATCAGCGCTACTTTGCCTGGCGAGACCGGCTCCGCGTGCGGCTGTTTGGGGACTGGAGGGAGCGCTTCTGTGCCATCTGCACCCAGTACCCCCGCCTGCCTCGAGGCCAGGTCTACCAGGACCTGAAGGGCTGGTTCCAAGCCTGAGCTCTGGCCAGAGGAGGAGGCAGAGGAGGGTGGCTGGGCGCCGGTCGTGTGGGTGGAAAGCTGGGTGTTGAAATGAAACCACCGGGCATCCGGCCCCCACAGGCCACCATCTGGTTAGTGCAGAGGCTGGGGTTGGAGGCTGGAAAGCAAGGGTCGGGGGGAGTGGGCTGGTCTGGGCAGGGTGCCTAAAGAAGGAGGCTGGTGGGCATTGGAGCAGAGGCACTCGGGGGTGAGGTGAGAACGGGGAGTTAGCGGGGGTGCATGTTGCTAGATGATCAAAGACACAGGCTCCCAAGGACCTCCGAGGACCTCCCTCCCCAGCTTGATAAAATCCCAGGGGGATCCTCCGTCCCAGACACGGGCTGGGAGAGGCCAGAGGCAGGGCCCTCCTGCAGTCTGTAGGGGAAAATACTGGGCCCCCAGACCTCCTCTGTCACCGAGGTCCCTTGGCTTGGGCCGTGCAGGGACATCACCCACACCCTCCACCGTGCTGGAGCCAGGCCCTGCGGACACCCTGACAAACAAGCCAGGCTGTTGGCCTTCGTGCTGCCTGCGGTTGGCTCTGGGAGGGGCAGTGGTCAATAAAGAAAGGGAGGACAAGAAGGGCACGCGCTGAGTCTTGGCCTATCTGCCCTCCCCCTGCCGCTTCATCCCCCTGCCACACGGGCCTCCTTGTCCTGATGGGATCCTGCCGGCTCCCCCTCAAGGCCTCTAGGCTCCCCGTGCTTGAGAGACCCTCCCCCACACTGCAGGGCCTGCCATCTTCCTTCGGCCCCTGCTAAATGAACGGCACGGCACTGGGGAGCCTTCCCTGACCCCCAAAAGGCCGAGATGGGTGGAGAGTAGGGGGTGCCAAGGTCTGAAACCTGGCTGGGGGTGTCAAAGGCGCCTTGTCTTGAAGGCCCTGGGAGGGTCTCTGGCATGTGGCAGGATCTGCTCCGTGGTGTAGGGCTCGCTCTGCCCGGTGGCTGGTGACCACACAGGCGGCAGGGGGTCCCGAGCATGCTGCTGCAGCCAGGCGAGCCCCTGTGAGAGGTGAAGCTCGTGCTGCAGATCGGGGCCCCAACAGGCTGCTCCACAGGGGCAGAGGTCAGGATTTGTCCCTACCCCAGATGGGGGTGGGCGGCAGGTGGAGGCCGGAAGCTGCCCTCCCCCCTTGACCGTGGCTTGTGTGAAAGGCCTGCCAGTGACTTCCTGCCCCGCCCTAGCCCCACGTGCTGACCAGGGAGAAGGATGTGGGATTGTAAAGAAGGAGTGGGGAAGGGGCAGGTAGCTGTGGTCCCCCAGGCCTATGATTCATTTAGGGGAGCCCTCTATGTGCACCCCCTATGTGCACGTCCCCCCCACTGGACATCAGATGACCTGCCTCTCCCATTGGCAAGTGGGGACACTGACGTTGGGGAGGGGCCCTCAGAGCCACCCACCAGGGCTCCCTGCCCTCTGCATCCCCCTGCTGGCCACCCGGGGACACTGCAGCCTTGCTCCCCCAGCCACCAAACAGCCAAATTCCATCTGCAGGGGCCTGACTGGCTCTTGGATGTGGGGAGAGAAATGAGCCACTCACCGAGGGGCAGCCTCAGTCTCCCCGAGCACCCTGTCTACCCCACCTGCAGGGAACCGCCTCCCTGGGCCAGAGCCCGGCCAGGCCCAGCTTGCCACTTGGTCACCAAGTGGTTCATTCCCAAGGGACACAGGGAATTTTCACAGCGGTGGGACAGGCCCCCCTGCAGCCCCCCTCACAAGCGCCCACTCCTCCCTTAAGTGACGTGGGTCAGGAAGCACCTGCTTGGGCCAGAACGCTGATTCTTGAAGACTGGAGGGCAGACACTGCCTGCCCTGCACAGGTGGGATCTCCAGCCAGGACTGAGCTGTCCCCTCCCCACGTGTGGGCGGCTACCCCCTTCCAGCCTGGCAGTGACCCTGGGGACCGGGACCTGGCTCTGACGTCCGGATGAAATTCCTGTCCCCAGCACTTCTGCGTGGGCGGGTGGAGGTCGTGCACCCCCTCAGCATCCCCCCAGGGCGCCCTGGGGGCCAGTGACCATCTTGGGGCGCCTCTGCGGGACGATTCCAATGGGGGTTGCTGCGCGCCGGCCACATGCCCCTGGGAGAAGAGCACCCCAGAGAGGGTGTGAGTCGGGGGTTTAGATGTGAGCTCTGGGGCACGTCACTTCAACGCCTGGCGAGATGGGGGCGACCAACGAATCCTCCCGTGGCTGGAGGGGTGGAGCTCCAGGAACCGCCCGGCAGGGCGGCGGGGGTTCCGGGCTCGGCTCCGGGCGGTGGGCTCAGCGCGGCGCCTTTAAGCGGGGGCGGCCGCGAGTGGCTGTCACCGCGGCCGCCGGGGCGGAGCCAGCGCGGAGCCGGTCCCGGACACCCCAGACCCCGCCCCGCGCGGGCGATGCCAAGCGGCGCGGCGGGCGGCGGGGCCGGCGGGGCGAGCAGAGGAGCTGGCCGCGGCGCGAAGGCGGCCGGAGCCCGGCCCCGCCATGGGCTTCCTGCATCAGCTGCAGCTGCTGCTCTGGAAGAACGTGACGCTGAAGCGCCGGAGCCCGGTGAGCGACCCCGCGCGCCTCCGGGCCTGCCCCGAGCCGGAGGTCGCGCGCACGGGGGGTCCAGCGGCGCGCTTTCCGCGCGCACGTGCGGCCGGGCCGGGCGCGCGTAGACCCCGGGCGGGCCCCGGGGGCGGCGGGCCCGAGCCCCCACCCCGCCGGACCCTGCCCGTCCTTGCGGGCTCCGGCCTCCGGGGAAGGGGCTCGGCCGTGCCCAGCCCGCGGCCCGCGCCCGCTGACATTCGCGGTGCTCGGCTGAGTCACGGGATGGGCGCCCGGCGCGCTCTTCGGGGCTAGCGGCTCGAGCGGCCCCAGGACTCTGGGGTCGCGGGAGGCCCTCGTTCCCGGGACAGAGGGCTGGCATGGGGGACTCTAATCCAGCCCAGAAGGCCCTTGGTTTCTGGGCCCAGCCCCCCTGGAGCACTTGCAGGGACCCTGCCCCTTCCCTCTGCCCTTGGACAGACACCTCGCCTCCCCCTCCTCCTCCCCCCTCCCCCTCCCCCCCCTCCTCTTCACCCTTCCTGCAAGTCCCCTAGCCCTTGCTCCTGCTTTCTCACCAACGGGAATGTCCTTGCTGTGCCAGCATCGGCCAGTCTGCATCCCTGAACCCTTTTGTCCTTTGGGGCAGTCCTCCCTGAGGCTGATCCACCCTCTGATCTCCCCTGGGGGCCGGGTCCTGCTGTTCCAAGCTGTGACCACCAAGCACCCCAGCCCTCTGCCCTGTGCCTGGGGCAGCCCCGGGGCCTGAGGGTGCAGGACACAGCAGCTGTCAGGGACAGAAGCCCTGGTGAGGAGCCAGCCTGAGGCTGTATGGATGTCATCATGCTGGCCCTCACCGCTCCTGCCCTGGGAAAGGCAGGGGCATCTCCTGTTGTCCTGCCCAGCCGACAGCACAGGGAAGCCTGGGCAGCTTGGGTTTCTGAATGGGCCCTGGGGATTTTCCACAACCAGGCCCAGAGAGGCTGGGGTACGGAGTGGGGGGCCTAAGGAGGAAGCATCCTCTTGCCCACCTGGGGCCTGAGAGGCTCCTCTCCCACCTGACTCTGAGTCCCCTTGGGCTGATGAGCTCCTGCCCAGGTCCCTCCTCGGGAAGAGAAACCCGGGACTGCAGACAGGGCAGGGTGGCCGTCATCACCATGGCCTGGCAGGACTCCTCTGGACACCTGAGCCTGGCGGGGAACACGTGCCTGGGGCTGGCTGGCTCTGGGTGCCATGGATCAGGCCTGCAGCCTCTGGTGCAGCTTCGCCTGCTTCACATTCGGGTTACTGGGGACACCAGGGCAGGGCTTGGCGGGGGGAGGGGTTTGGGATGTGGGCATGCATTAGTATCAGCCCCAGGGTTCTTGGCAGTAAGGGCCCCCTAGGGGCTGGGAACAGAGGCTAGAATGATGGCCCCTGAATCCACTGGGGATCTCAAGGCTCAGGGAAGGGAGCAGTGGCTTGTGGGGCACCTGGCAAGCAGGTGGGAGGTGTCCACTGCCCTACACCCAGGAGTGGCCGCCACCCGCTAGGTCGAGCCTTCCCTAGAATCTTATCTTCTTGTGCCCCTGCCCAGCAGCACTACCAGGGTCTGGTTAGGCCACATGGAGGTCCTTGGCTTGAGATCACAGCAAATCAGAAATTCTCCCTCCAGGGTGGCTGAGGCCTTTGCTGGGCTTGTGCTATGGGGCAGGGGCTGGGGCTGGCCAGAGGCCTGGCACACTCCTGCTGGCTCCCCCTTTCTGGGGAGGGTCTTGGGCTTCAGAGTTAGACCTGTGGGCTCGGCCAACAGAGGTTTTGCTCTGCATTCTATGCACTTCTCTGGGGGGTGGGGGTGCACCCCCTGGAAAGCTTGGTTTGGAGGGTAGGAACCAAGGACCTCTGTGCCTGGGTTTCTCCAACTGTGAGTGTCGCCTGTCCTCTCTTAGCTGGGTCTGCTGGGGCCTCATCACTGGGTAAAGAGTCAGGCCATTCCATCTTCAGTTCTTGTCTGTTCTCCCCTTGACACAGCAAGAGGGGGCTCAGGCCCAGTGTGGGCACCCAGGCGCCGGGAACAACATGGGGGCACTGGACTAATTTCAGGGCACCGGGGTTTGACCTCCTTGCGGGCCCCTAGTGGGGTGCAAGGGGCAAGGAACCTGTGCTCCCTGCCCGTAACCAGATGCCCCTCTGCCCGCCTGCCCGCCCAGCAGGCCTCCCTCTTCCCAGCAGCTCCTGCGGCGGCCGTTGCTATAGCAATGAGGAGGTAGCCGAGGCCTGTTGCTGCAGTTACACGGTGGAGGTGCCCAGTGGCAGGGCGGGTGTGGGTGGGGCTGGTACCTTGGCCATGACCCTGGCCGCCTGCCTCGCGTGCAGCCACCCTGGCTCTGTGTATGTGTGTGTGGCATAGGTGCCTGTCCCCAGCCCTGCGGGTGCCCATGGTGCCTCCTCGGCTAGCCCTGGGCTGGATCCTGGCTCGGGGAGGGGGTG